GCTTATTTTTTTAATAAATAAAAGAGAAAGAAATTTTTTTATATAATATTTTTTTCTTTACTTTTTGAAAATAAAAAATTTTTCGTTTTTAAAATCATTTATTAATGTTTAATAATTGTAATTGTATTATTGAAAATTTATTAACATTATCATTTAGCTCAAGAAATTTTGATGCTAAAAATTGATTATTGAAAAAGGAAGACCGAAACCAATTTTACAAAACTTAAAAAAAGAAATCAAAACTTGCATCCGTAATTTTTCTATCGATAAATATGAAAAATATGAATGGCTCACTGGATGTGAATTTTCTAATTCTCTATGTTGTTGGTCATGCCTATTATTCCCAAAGGAAAAATATGTTTGGTATGATAAAAGATTTTCGGATATGAATAATTTTTCAAAGCAGTTAAATGGCATGAAGAATCAACCGCTCATTTGCAGTCGATGATTCAATTTAAAACATTTGGCCAAAATCATATTGAAAATATGATAGATTCGATGCGCAAAATATCAATCTAACAGCATAATTCTAAAGTCAAATTAAGTAAAGAAATATTGAAAATATTGATCAACTTTATATGTTTTCTTGGAATCCAGGAGCTCGTATTCGGTGGTGATGATGAATCTTCTAATTCAGTAAATAGAGGAAATTATATAGAATTAATTTATTTGCTCGCGGAAGATAATTTACTATTGATACATCATTTAGAAATAGTGCAGTTTTTATTGGACTATCAAGCTATATTCAAAATGATTACATTAATTCTATTTCATATGTCTTACAAAAAATATTAAATTCGTCGAATTGTTAGATATTAGTAAATTCCAAATAATCAAAATTTCCCAAAATATTTATGAGATAATTTAAACGACACTTATTCTCAATTTTTCGACTTACACAAGCTGGAAACCGAATTAAAGGTAGTGTTTCGTGTTGAATTTAGAAAGAAAAAGAATGTTAATGAAATACTTGAATTTTAATATGCAATAATTTGATGAAATTAAAGAGTTTTTTAAATTATGCAAATTCATCTTAACTTTGGCTTCAACAACAGCAAGTTCAGAACGGATTTTTTCATCTTTAAAAAGAATCAAATCTTATTGCAGAAACAGGATAAGCCAAAATCGATTATCGAATCTATCTTTGATTTCGATTGTAAAAAAATATTTAAAAATTTAAAATCTAGCAATAACGTTTATAATGCAGTACTATCATTTTACTCAAAAACAAAGACGAATACCATTTATTTATAAATCTTAATGTTTTTATGGTTTGAGTTTGACCAAAATAAAAATAAATTTTTTTTTGATTGCTTCTCTAGTAGTGAACTTGACGCTTCGTCACTGTTATATACTCTGGTAATACATTTAGGGCTTCTTTTAATAATATATTTTGAAAGTATATTGTTTTATCATCCCACTCAAAGTTCTTTAAATATGGATGTGATAATGATGTCAAAAAAGCCTCATTATATTTTCAAATCATAGCAAAATATTTTCTTAAAATTATTTTGCCCATACCATCTTTGGCAGCTTTTAAAAGGTAGACTTGTAAATTGAATTTTTAAGATAACCTATGCCCATTTTAACCACACATAAATAATATACTTTAATATGTTAAATAAAATTTGTGTTTAACCCTTTATCATTTTTTTGTTTATACAGGTTTTGCATCTAGCCTGTATATTGTCTTGCTTAACTTTTATTTTAAAGAAATTTCCATATAAAATTTTAAGATTGGGATTTTATTCGGAGGAATTCATTTCTATAATTTAATTTCACTACCTTCTTCTTCACTACCATGAGTGTTAATCATCCTACAAATTAAAAAATATTACATAAAAATGGTAATGATATTATATCGAGTTACAATATATAAAAAATTATGTTTAATTATTTCGTTTTGGTGTTGTTATTTTTGTCTATCTACCTTAATGTGAGTTGTAAAATTTTTTTTAAAGCTAAATTTGGCAATCAATATATAAGATTCTAGAAGAAAATAAGATATATATTGTGATATATAAAATTTTAAACATGAATATTAAAAAAAATCTATATCTTTTATCAAGAAAATGATACAAGTTTCTTTTTAGAATAAAGAATTTCGGATACAGATACTAGTATCTTATTAAAAATGTTAAAAAGATACTGAGTACAAGATACAAAAGGATCTTATATCCTAGATACAAGTATTCGCGGTACTGCCCAACTCTGTAAATCACTATAATTCTATAAAAATAAAGCTAACCTATTTTTAAAAAATCCATACTGGACCTAAATATATTTTCTGAGAAATAATCCGGACTGGAAAATATAAAACTTGGGCAGGCCGGGACCATCTAATGGTAATTGCTGGTGTGATTTATATATATATGAAAAAAAAGTAAAAAGTTTCGCAAGGAACATATTAAATACTCAAAATTTCAAATATTTACTAATAATTTTGAATATTTTATTTTAATACTATTTATGTTATCCGATTTGAGTCTTTCATTTCTTTAATTTCGATATAATACGATTTTTAAAAAAAGAAACCAAACATCCTTTTTCCTTATTCTGATATGTAATATATGAATCAGAGACTTGCAGAGAAACAATTTGCATGGCCCGGCCAGAATTTTTTTTCAAAAATTTTTACGGCCCGGCTTTTTCAAAAATAAATTTCAGGCCCGGCCCGGATTTTTTCAAAATATATTATATTTATTTTTTATTTCTGTAGCTAATAATGTCGATTTCAAATATTTGGTTTTAAAGGCCCAGTCCGAATTTTTTTTATAAAAATTTTTAGACCATGAGCTGATATAAATAATATATTGTAATTTAATGTATGTAAAATCGAATAACAATATTCATTATATTTTTGTTTATATAATATTAATAAATAGATAAAATTTTTTAGGTCATATTTTTATAAACTATATTTTTCCTCTATTGTTTAGCATTATTTTTAATATAATATATTATACTTATTTTTATTTATAATCAAAATTGAAATTATTACCGCCTCTAAGTCTTGATTCGCCTATTTAGAGCCATGCGATGCTCAAAAATATTTTTCATGTTCAAATATCAATTATATGAGTTACCATTTTAAATATTTATTTTTACCCTTCTCCTTCCTCCCAAGTTGTAACGATATACATTTATTAAGGTAGAACTAGGCTTATTTGATACACATTCATTATCATATCAATATTTATGCTGATTAAATTATTCCTGACCCCCGTAGTAATAGCTTGATTAACTGAGAGGTGTCGCATGGCTTGTTACTTATTAAATAGATCTTTAACTATATCTTGATACACCATATATTTTTATACTTTAATAAGGTAAAGAAAAATAACTTAAAATGTATTGGTCTAGGGGTTCGTACTCATAGCTGGTTTAGTCGATATTTACACCCAAGTCGTAGGTCTGGGTCTTAAAAAACCACCAATCATAAGCGTAGCCGGGGAGGGGGGGCAAGGGGAAATCCCCCCTTCAGAAATTTATCACTTTTTGTAAATATAGTTTTTAGCTAATAAAAAATATCCCCCTTAGTCCTCCCCCCACTCCCTGACCCTCAAATATGTATGCATATATCTTAAATAATAATTTGAAAGAAAGAATGTAAAAGTTGATATTTTTTTATAAAACTATTCATTTTATAGATTTTTGGGAAGATAAATATATAAAATGAACCAAAAATGTTTTTTAATAAATGGAATATAAGCCAAAGATAAGTCTTAACAGAACTGAAATGTATTATAATTAATAATAATAGATCCATAAAATTACTAAATAATATGATATATCAAATATAATTTTTTATAAAGTGAGTAATTTTAATTTATTTATCTTAATTAAAGTAAAATATAATTATAAAACTATTGATAAAATAAATCATAAATTAAGAAAAATATAAAAGCACAATACAAACAGTGGAATATTATATGTCGTAGATTTACAGTATATCTAATTATCAAATGACAATCAAGTAATTTTTACCAATATAGCGAATTATATATTTTACAGAAAACTATAAAATATTGATAAGGACATCAGAAAATATCTTAAGACATTGTGGGATGAATAACATGAAAATTAAATTTTAATATTATTTTTACTCAAAATAAATAGATGGCGTTAAATAATTGAATGCAAATTGTTACTATATTTAATAACAAGAGCATTGTTACATAAAATTTGTTAAATTATTAATTGTAATATATTCTCTAACTGTCAAATATGTCTGTAAAAGTGGAATTTTACCTAATATTTTATAACTAATTCTATATAATAGAGTAAAATCAACTATAGGTTTACTTACTTTTTATAAAGAAATTTCTTATAATTGTTTGGAATAAATTATTACCATGCTTTTATCTAGTTTTGTTAGACGACCCGATTAAGATTTTAGCCAAGATAATTTTATGTAAGCCTGGGGATTTTTCAGATAAAGATTCAACCTTTCTGTCGTCTATCAACAAAATCTCTGGGTTTACATAATATTATTATGTCTAAAATTTTGATCGGGCCGTTTAATAACGCTACAATTAATAATACAAACATAAATAGATGATTTCCATAAAATTTGAGTTAACCAATTAACTTCACGACTCAATTTCAAAACTCGAGTCGTTAAAATGAGTAGACTAATAGACTCAAAACTGCGACTCGGAGTCGAAGTCAGGACTATTTAATGCTAAATTTCACTATAAACAAAATTATCCCCTACCATTCCTATAGAAAATTTGTGGCTGCACGCCTGCAGGTATGATATTATCATCAAACATTAATTTTATATATATATTATATTTTAAATGTAAAAATTGCTTGCATGAAAGAGTCTTAATTGTTCCAACTTCTTATTATCCACGTATTATTCCAGATAAATTAACTAACACTTAAAACTAAAATATTTATTAAAAAGTTACTAATTTAGATTTTGTTTTAGCTTTTAATCTATTAAAAAATCCTTTAAAATGATATTCATAAAATTAAAATAGATTTTACCAAAATTCGGATATCCAAACATAACAGTCAAACTAATTTTTTATTAATTTTTCTGCTATTACTAACTGAATATTGTTTCGAGTCAACAGTGTTTGAACGAGCAATATTACATTAAACTACTTTATACTATATAAGAATTTAAAGAATGTGCCGCGTAAGACAAAATTATACGGCTGAGATTGAGGCTGCTATAAACAAACAAATAAATATGGAATTGTTTGCCTCATACACATATATGTCTATGGTAAAATTGGAAATCGAATTAAATTTAACATTTTTTAGGCTACTTATTTTGACAGAGATGATGTTGCTCTTCATAATATTTCAAAATATTTTATGGAACAAAGTGATGAGGAGAGAGATCATGCCAGAAAATTGATTAAGTATCAAAATAAAAGAGGAGGAAGAGTTGTCTATAAGTCTATTCAAGTTTATCTTCCTTTTTTATAATTCTTATTTGTACTCAGCAACCAGAGAAAGATGATTGGAAATCTCCACTTGATGCTTTTAATGCAGCTTTAGATCTTGAAAAGAATGTAAATGCATCTTTGCTGGAAATTCATTTATTAGGATGCACTCATCTAGATCCTAATGTAAATTATATGTTGAATTTAAAAATAATTTGGATTATAGTTACAAGATTTTATCGATGAGTATCTAGTAGATCAAGTCAATTCAATTAAAGAGGTGTCTGATCATGTTACAAATTTGATTCGTGTTGGTTCAGGATTAGGAGAATACCAGTTTGATAAACATTTTTATGATGATAAAGAAAATAGTATCAAGCAAAAATTATAATTAAATTATTTCAATATTTTTGATTTTAAATAATCTAAATCACACAATTATTATAATATAAAAATTCAATTATTCTTTACAAATATACTTTTTCATATTAAATTTAATTTCTTGTAATTTTATCTGACACTAATATTTTTATCAATTATTCACATGATTTAATAAAATTTAATCCATTTATTTTTTATATTAATATTGCTAAATTGTAATTACTTATTTAATATTTTATTGTGTGTATAAAAATTATAATTTTAGCACCCCCTCCCCCTCTTGCCATGTCTAATTTTTTGCCACTAAGTGAATAAACCTTAACCAGCAGTGTCACTTTGGATGTGTAAATTTTAAAAACCTACTCTTGCCAGTGATCAATACTTAAAACCTTAAAAATTTTTTACTCTAAAGCTATGAATTTATAACTCGAATTATGTTCATCTAAACTAATAAGAATAAAGGATATTTTTATTTTTTTGCATAAAATCTTAGATTATAATTTTTTTCAATAAATACATTTTAAGCAAATACTAATGGATATCCTTACACTCCAACAGCACCACCCTCTCTAAAATGAATAAACTAATTAATTTTAAATAATAAGTTAATAACTTTAAAAACATTAGGTATATTTTTTAATAGATACTATAAAAAAAATGAAATGATTTCATTAAATTTTTTTTGTAATGATTAAATATTGAATTTTATTAAACAAATGTTGAACTATTTTTAAAATTTATGGTGAATTACTAAACAATATTGCTTGAAAATTATTTTCTTCAATCTCAAGAAGAATTATGTTCTGTGTAGTGCTAATTAACAAGATAAAATTATGATTTAAAAGAAAAGTGTATTTTATTAAGTTGTATATTGACAAACCATTTTTCTAGCTAATTATATCAATTTATGCAATGTAAATACACTCTAAAATATTCATCTTAGTTATTAGAAAATCTTAATCTAGATATAGCTTGTCTCTGTTTTTTGGAACTATTTGTATATTTTTATTTAAGTTACTGATTATATTAAAAGCACTAAGACATAAATAATGAAATTGGGGCTAACTAATAAAATATTTAAATACTCTTTTCTTTCAGATCATAATTTATGGATAACTCTGGGAAGGCCTTCTTAAGATTTAAAAAATTTAGAAGAATAATAAGGTAGCTACTGAGAACTTTTATATTTGACAAACCTTAGTTTAGAATACATTTATATTTTACTTGTTTATAAATTATAATTTAAAATAAACATTTCTTATTCTATACTGTATAGTAATTTACCATAGGCTTTTAAAAAAATAATGTAACTATGCCAAATGCTTTCCACTATAATTATGGAGGAGCAACCTCCCACCCCTTAGGAAAATGTTGAAAAAATTGCATTTAATGTAAATGGTATATTTTATTCTTAGGAGTGCAATGGATCATGAACATGATTTAGAAGCTTAATACACAATACTTATTTTAAATTATATAAATTGAGTATGCTTATAATCAGTGGCATATCCTTAATTTATCCAGTGGGGGAGGGGTGGGTGATTATTAAAAGTCTAAACCCCCATTTTCATGGTCCTGCACCCCTTCCCCCTTCTATGAAAAATCATTTAGATATTATTGATTTTCACATGGCTATTTTTATTTTGCTTTTTTAGTATCTTTATCATCCTTTAAGTTGACTGAACAATTACAAGCACTACGAAAATCTATGCCATTGTTTTATTAATGCCTATGAGTGATAATCGCTATTATAAATTAAAAAATTAGTTATAAAATTTTGGCCAGCCTTATTTTTTTAAATATACCTGGGCCAAGCCTAAAAAAATTTTTTTGAAAAATACCTAGGCTGGCCACTATATATTAGCGATATAAATTAAAAATTAATTTTTAAAAAATTTGGGCTGTGCCATTAAATTATTTTTTAAAAAAAGTTCAGGCTGACCCTAAAAACATAAAACCAGGGCTGAAAAAAAATATAGTTTTTTTTAAATCAATGTAAATGGTACTTCTGCAGGAAGGAAAATAGTTATTAGCAAAATAAAAAAAATTGGCATCATGCATGCTGTTATGTTCTACCTCCCTCCCCCCTCTTGTCCTGTATAACTTATTTCTTTAAGTTTTTCTCCACTTGTTTCTTTTGTTTTCCCATCGTCCTTTTTTTTTATATTGACCAGTTTCAAGAATGATTGTATCGCGATATTATATAACAATATGTTATTTTTTTTTCTTTGTTTGATAAATTATAAAAGGTTGCAAAAATACCTTTATTGGGGATTCTTTTTTTTTAAATTATTTTACTGAATATTTTTTGTGTTAAATAAAATTCTGAAAGTTTTATTCTTTGGTAAATTGTGATATTTTAACAATAAATTAAATTACTACCGATGATGACTAAGTTAAAACTCAACGTCAACCTACCGGTCCCTCGAATTCTGCCGATCCCTCTCCCTATCCCCCGGTAGAACAGCCCGCGGTCGTGGCCGCGAACATATCACATGCTAATAGGGAAAATATAGAAGAACTCATTTTTAATATTTAGTTCCTTATTTAATCGATTTTGCCAACCACCAAAAAGTAATTACAAATCTAATAAAGAATCTTGTCACGCTCTATACATAAAACCAGCCCAATTTCTAGAAGCTTTAACTAAAATTAATATTTAGGTGTTACAACCCGTTTGGTAGTGTTAAATGGCTCGATTTGAGCAAACGGCTAACTCAAGATTTTAGCCAGAAAAATATTGCCAAAGCCTTGAAATTTCGCTAATAGTCAAACCTTTGTACCATCTATGAGCAAAATCTTCAGGCTTACGGTATTTTCTTTTGGATATAGCCGTTTTTAAAAATCAGCTCAAATCGAGCCGTTTAACAACACTACCGTTTGGTAAATATTTTAAAGAAAAAGGATTTCTAGCAAAAAATATTTGATGCTAGAATGGAAAATTATAGAATCACCGAAAATTTCGGTATACTTGATTTGTGCTAATTCATCTCAATTTTTCCAGCCAATGTACAGAAACTAGCTATAAAAAAACGACAGGATTTTAAAATAAATTACGTCTATTAAGGTTTCTATCTCCCCTATTCAAATAATTTTTGTATCTTATGAATCATCTTTAAAAATATTAATGGGAAAATTTGATTAAAAAATGAAATCTGCCTCTAGTTAATTCGTAAATTTTTCAATGGATAAGAATATTTCAGAGATGATTTTGTAGTAAATGAAAAAGGGAAATTTGTGAAGTATTATACCCATTCATATTTTACAATATTGAAGTGGGTGATATACCCTAGCCTTCCTCTTGTCTATACCATGATATGCCCATTGTTTAAGTGAAAAAGATTTTCAGGAGAATGGTGGCTTAAATTAGTGGTTGGATATTATATATATTTGGCAACAAAAATCCTTAATATTTGCAAAGTCTTGCCCTTTCAAATTTTTTTTGCACAAGTTTGGTCCGTTATTAAAATAGGTCCGAAATGTTTTTAACTCAATTTCTCATGTCGCCTGTTAAAATTTTATGAAAAGTCATGCCCGGACCGTTTAATTTTTATAGATGAATTTTCCGGTCAGCACATTTTTTGTGAATAAAAATTATAATGCCGTTATTTCTCTTACTACTTGTTCATATTAACCAGTATTATTGTAATACATTAAATTTAATATTTAGCGATACTCTGGCAATAATTATGTTTATATATTTCATGAAAAAATATTTTATTAAAGTGACTGAAATATTTTCCCCTTCTAATATATTTTGAACCTTTTTGTTTATCTATTTTGGAATTGTGACATTATACCAAAATAGGAAGACAATATAATGTTAATAGTTTTAGGGCCAGAGGTCTGGCTATGCAGGACTCTAAGAAGAATTGCCAATACGGGATTAGCGTTTATTAGCATAACGATGAAAATCTTTTTAAAGTAAAAATACTCTAAATTAAAACTTTAAATTTATTAATATTTAACATTTCCCTAAAGAAATTTAAAAAAGAAATTATGTTTTTGAAAAAAGTCACGTCACCATAATAGCCATAATATTTCAAAAGATCACTATGAACTAATTTAGGTATATATCAATATTAGTTATTAGAAATGTTTGTTTTACAACTTTTCTTCCCCATGGTTGGCACTATTAACTAGATTATATGCTATATATCTTGTCTAAAACATTTTATATTGAGATATAACTTTAATGCAAGTCATATTTTTCTATATAATTCACTAATTTTGATCATTAATTCTTTTATCTAATAATTTTAAAGATTTAAAAACCAGCTACTAATATATACATTTCAAAAATTAAATTGCCCATGGGGTTATAAAGTATTTGAAAAAAGAATGACATACCGTTTCATTTCTACCTTACCTTATACATTATAGAATAGATGTATTTTCAAAGTTTACAAACATTTTATTAAATAATTTAAAATTTTAAAAATAATAGGCTGTAAAAGGAATATTTTTTAGTTCATTTTAAAAACATACCAATTTGTCAATATTATCATATTTTGATAATGATTGGGTGAATCATCATTATTATCATAAAATTTCTTTAGAACATTAAAAATATTCAATCAAACTAACTTTTTCCCTTTTTTTCTTTTCATTTAAATCGCAAATTTTTATTATAATTATATTAACTAAACATTTTAATGCCCTGTTTAATTTATTAAATTAAATGTTGTCTAATTTCAAGGTCATTTGGCATTTATACTTTGTATTATTATTTATTTAGTTTATATGCAATGACATATATGGTACCTAGACTGACGATTCATTCATTAAAAGTCTACATCAATGCAAATCAGCTGGAGACGCCATCTTGGTTACATTAATCATTATTAAATTTTGAAGGAGAGCCTAATTTATCCAATATCATATGCAAACTTTATTAAAGACGGATCATCGAGATAATAAGGAAGCAAGTTATCAATTTAATAGTAGTTTTTAACATGACAAATATAACTATATGTGTTACCAAAATGGCGGGTCCAGCTGATTTGCTTTTAACGATGCTTAAAAATGCATTTTAATGAATGAATCGTCAGTCTAGGTATTATATAAGTCATTATTTATATGCCAAGATTATAAAAAAAAATTATGCCTATCCTTTAATTATATTTAATCCTATCTCAAAAAAAACCTGATCTTTATTTCGCAGACACTATTATGCAGGGCTAATAATATTAGACGTGCAAAAAAATCTAAGGTTAAGAGCTAAAACTATTGACGCACTTTGCTTCAGTCTCAAAAGCGTCAAAGAAATTTATTCGATCAATTAAAGGAACGTTTCAGGGGTGCATTTAAAGACCTGCTAAGCCCCCCTAATCCTGCCAATTTTATTTTTGCCCTCCTTTCCAAATTTTGAAGAGTGATTCCCCCGCCAAAAAATGTTAATATTTTTTCAAAAGTGTTTAATTTGAATCCCGTTTAAAATCAAAAATAGAATTTTTTTCCCTTTTTCAAATATTTTTATAGCCAGAT